GGATTCAACCTCAAGAGTAAAGTCGATGTTTGGATGGGCGTCATTGAAGATTTGTAGTAGGTTTTTTATATCACAATTCTCATCATAAAATAATGAAAGTATCATCGATGTATCTCTTGTAGAAAGATGGAGGTCGTTGATAGTTGATGATAAGGGGTTGTTTTCTAGGCTATAGCCATAAAGCAGTCAGGGTCCTAGGGGAGAACCCATTGCTACTCCATCTACTTGCCTGTATATTTTGTTGTTGAAACTATTCAGGACATTCAACGCTATTCGAAAAATCCTTCAAAATAATAATATACAAGTTTCGATCAAACCTGTCAAAGGGAGTGAAATTAGTGAATCTAATTCACTTTGCGTCGGTAGAACAGTGGTTAGGACTCTCGCCGACCATGAACATGGTCCGGAGTTCGATCTCAGGCCGCCGCACACCTGATATCTATGGTCAGCCTGCAAAATTTGGGCTACCGATATCACATGCTGAAAATTCCATACTTGTACCAAAAATACGGTATGGGATCAAGCTATAATCGAAAAAAAAAGTGTGAAAGTAACTACGATTGTAACGAAATTGTATATATGACGATATTAGATAGTTAGGACAGATACCTTGTCCGTCGTTTTTCATTCATTCTGATATACAGACGCACAAACGCGCGCGCGCACACACACTCACACACCAGATTTTTGTTGCCATTTCAGTCTTTTGTTTCAATAACTAGTCAGTTTCAGGAAGAGCGAACTATGGTGATCGATTTATGCATGATACGTCAACGTCATTTATCAATTCAACAGTTCCATGATTTGATTTCCAGACATTATGCAGGAATGAATATTATGTAATAATAAGATATTATAAATATATAATGGCGAAGTTCAAGGAGTGTGAACGCCCCCAATGACCTTGGACGCATGCTAGCCATTGGCTAATGGGACCTGTCATTATCATAGATGAAATATCAACGATATTCACCACAGCCAGCTAAGCAGCAAATTTCACACAGATCATGTTTTTAAGTAGTGTTTGGACAATGGGTTAATAGCTCGTTAGGGTTAGGATCAGGGTTATAATTATCATTAGGATTAGAATTACGGTTTGAATAAGGAGGTTAAGGATAGATTTATAGTTGATGTCATTTATTTTAATTTTCTATAGTTGGTTTGTAAAGATCAGTTTTGTTTTTACGAGTTGATCACGGATTGATATCAGTTAGAGAACCATTGAAAACCAACACTGGAGTAGTGGATAGCCAGCTGTTTCATCAGCCTAGTTTGGGAATCACCGGCAGTACGCACTCCACAACAGGGGGTTTCAAGCCCAGGACCTTCCGGTTACGAGGCCGACAAGCTCGTATACTATTCAGCCACTGGGACCCAATTCAGTGGCCAGTCCATGAATTCTAACTTCTATCAATTCGTGATTGGGAAGCATCCTTTCAACTACAGGCAGACGGAACTGAGGAGGATATCAAAGCAAGAATCGGAAAAGCAAGACAAGCTTTCACTACTCTCAAGTCTGTGTGGAGGTCAACAGCACTCAGCATCAAAAATAAGGTCTGGATTTTCAACTCCAATGTGAAGTCAGTCAGTGCTATTATACGGATCAGAGACTTGGCCAGCGTGTCATAAAGAGCACCTAAAGCAAACTACAGACCTTCATCAACAGATGTGTTCGATCAATACTACACAAGATCAGATGGCTGGCCACAAAAGATCAGCAACAGGAAGGAATCTCTGGGAATGAACCAACCAGGAACCGATTGTGCTACAAACATGCAGGAAGAAATGGAGGTAGTTGGATTGACCCTACTCTGCGAAAACAAACCATCAAGTGACACCACACGCCAGGCCATCGGTCGAGTGGAACCCGAATAGGAAGAGGCGAGTTGGTCGTCAGTTTGAGGGTGACATGTAGGAGGTCATGTGAAGAGGAGATGAAAGCATGTGAGCAGACGTGGAGCCAGTTGAAAACATTTGTGGGAAACCGAACGCAATGGAGACGTGAGGCTGAATCCTTATGTTCCTCTAGGAATTAAAGGAAGCAATAATAATAATAATAATTTGGCACGCCCCCAACCAATGTCGTCGGTGGGACATCCATGCCCACATTTTCCAGGTAAGTAGTCATCGATCCTCTTACTGGAAACCTTATTAATTCAACCGAGGGCTTTTAGGGAAGACTGCACAACAGGATAAGAGAGATAAACGATTCATAAAAACAGCTCATCTTCAATCACCTCCGTGAATACATGTACAGAAACTAGTCTAACTTAGCAACTGATACTCCTCATTATAACTGGGATGTATTTTTAAGTCATGTTAGAGGAGAAAGATAACCTGTTTAATGTGTTTTCATGCCTTTTCTTGTAAATATACGTCATTTTTTGTGTGAAAATTCCTTATTTTTATGATTGGTCGTCTGAAGGTCAACCGTGCGTTTGCATCCCTTGGGACGCTATTGTTGAACTTTGCCAATAAAATTAAAAAATTAAAACTAATAGAAACTATGTAGCTAGAAATTAAAATCGATTTGGAGATTTAGACGTGAAAGTTTTCTTTTCATCTTTGATAGTGGCTAGAGCAGTGGACTCCATTGGGATGCGCATTTCGTACTGTTTATGACTCATCATCTGCAAATATGTCCACATTTCCAATGAGTGATGTTTAGACACTATCAATGAAAATAAAATATTACGTTAAGTTTCAGTTGAGTAACTCTTGTTACCTGGTGGATAATGCTTTGGCATTTCAAATAATGAGTGTGAGGTTCAAGATTCAGTGGGAGTAGTAGAATTACTCACTGGGGATGCAGGTAGATACAGATGATGAGTCCCAATTAGGACAAAACGTGCATCCCGGATTCCACTGCTAGACATTATCAACCAGAAAAGAACTTCACTATAATCCTTAGACATCGTCGAAGAGTCTGTACTCGGAGCCAGAGTGACTGAGCATTTCGGGTTCAACATAATCAATAAACGAGATGTGTAATTTACCCTTAAAATATAAAATGAACCTTCTTATATTTTCAAAAGACTGTCTAGAGGATTTCGTTGTGATCATAGAGTGATTTCTTTTGTGTTGCAGTGGGAACAAGGACATACGCTTCGTCATCTTTCGGATTGATCGACTGAATGTAAAAGGATCTAGATGAGTGATTCTTTCCCACCCCCGCCTTCGCCCCAATGAGACTCGAACGCACCATCAGTCATCAATTCAAACACCGAAACTTCATCTACTGTGCTACTGTTGAGCCATTGTTGAAAATATAAAGAATGTCATATCATATCCCTTACATATGAAATTTCGAGTGGAGCGTAGGGCTTCGAAAGCACATCTCCATTTCATCCTGTCCTATACAGTCGTCTTTAGCTAACTCTACGATTGTCCAAAAGCTCTGATCTCCTCCTCCTCACCACACGATCTTGTTCACGTCACCTTCAGAATCACATCCAACTCATCGTTTCCCGTTAGGGCTCCACTCGAGGGCTTGGCGCTCGATGTCACTGAATAACCTCCTCAGCGTGTATCCATTCCATTTCCATTTCGTCTGGCGCATATGTTGGGCAAAGGGTTCTCCGTTGATCCATTGCCAGAGTTTCTTGTTGTTAATCCTTTCTGGCAATGAAATCCACAACAGTTAGTTTAAGCCAGCCAGCCACATAGGAAGGTGTAGACTGGCTTCCTGGTTCGGGTTCTCGGGACTGTAAGAACCAATGAAGGCTGGAGACAATTGGTGATATAGCTCAAAATCGTTCTCAATGGCTGGCGCAGTTGCCTCCACCCCCTGTGACTCATAATACCCAATAAAACTATATTGTTCTTCGATATTACTATTCCTTTTGTCTCATATCCCTGTTTACTGTCTCTATTTTGCATTTCTTTTTACTTTCTTCTCTTGCTTTGTGTGCTACAAGGAGGGAGTGTGTGGGCGACTCGAACTGGTGCACATCGGTGCAAACCGGCCAGTCAGTCAGTCAATCCTTTCTGGTGCAACAAATAGCTGTTGTACACACAGATTGACAAGTTGAATTAACTGTGCACAAGTGATGAAAGCCAGTAGAAATCAACAGTACTGTGAATTTATTACACGGGGTAGGGTTACTAACCTGATGCCAAACCTTCACCTCTTTACTGTGGGCTTACTACCAATTAAGTGAGATTAGGGAGAAGCGTCAACCGGGGATCGAACCCTGGATCAGTTGGAAGGTAGGCAACCAACCAACCATATATATATATATATATATTATATACGGGAGGGATTTGAAAGAGGTTACTTCATTCACTTATCTAGGGAGCATTGTCTCAACTACAGGAGGAACAGACGAGGATGTCAAATCGAGAATCGGGAAGGCGAGAAACACATTCATCAACCTGAAACCAATCTGGAAATCTTCGTCACTCAACTCAGCATCAACAACAAAATTCGGATTTTCAATACAAACGTCAAGTCAGTCAGTTCTTCTATACGGATGGATCAGAAACTTGGCGGCGGGTCACAAAGAATATTTCCAACAGCCTGTTGCAGACCTTTATCAACAACTGTCTTCGTTCTATACTCAAGATCAGATGGCCGGAAAGAACAACCAACAAGAAAAAACTATGGGAACAAACAAAACAAGAACCAATCGCTCAACAAATATGCAGGAGAAAGTGGAGATGGATTGGACACTCACTGAGGAGGCCGCTGGGTGACATCGCGCGTCAGGCCATAGCTCGAGTGGAACCCGAAAGGGAAGCGGCGAGTGGAACGTCCAAGGGTGACATGGAGGAGATCGTGTGAAGAGGAGTTGAAACAGTATGGACTAAGATGGATGCAGGTGAAAAGTACAGCAGAAGACAGAAACAAGTGGAGACGTGTAGTTGAAGCCCTATGTTCCACTAGGTACCCAAGGGAACAATAATAATAATATATATATATCACACCAAACAGTTTAACCTTCCTTATTAAAAAAACAAGAATAAGAAAATTTTTTGAAAAAAGAAACATCTTTGTATACCTTACTTAAACCTAAAGCCAGGGACTCTAAATGCATTTGAGCGCTACCAGTTAAAAATACATTCGATTTATTCATCACTTCATTGGTTTCATTGGATGCAGGGGATTGAACAGTGAACATTTGACCAGTACCTTCACAGTCTGTTGTCGTAAGAATTGGAGTATCAACCTGTATGTTTTTTGGGGGAAAGAGAGAAGAAGAAGCTTCTTTAAAATAAAATAAAAATTACAGCGTAAAGAAGAACTACATCATTGTGAATCAGTTCCCTTCAGTTGAAATGGACTACAAATTTTAAAAAAGTGTAGGCGCCAAATTCTGTAGTATTTGGGAGAGATTTTTGTGTGTAATGGAGAAGACTTTTAGCTCAGGTGGATGATTTAAAAGAAATTTCCTATTATACCTTGATTCCACACAGTGTTTTGGTACAAGTGATATTGTTAGCCCAAATTTAGCAGCCCAACCATTGATATCAGGTGTGCGTAGAACGGGGATTGAAACCTCGGACCATGTGCATGGTCGGTTGGCAAGCATCCTAGCCGCTGTGCCACCGAAACTGCATTGTTTATTTGCGAGTGTTTCATTGCCTTATTAGGCAACATCTTCAGCGCATACACTTCATTTCGAAGTAGGCTTTTAGATTTCTCTACAAGCTTATGAGTCATCTCTCCTGGTGACTACCTTGAACGTGACTCTTTGGTTGTGTTTGTGTGTTTTCACACCTTCTAGGCTTCTACTTGTATTGGTATTAGTGTTGATTGTTTCCTTGACCTGAAGTTTGATCCTCTGTGTCTCCCATGTTTTGCCACAATACACTGGTTTATTTGCTCTCTCTGTAAGACGTTGAGTCTATCTCTCTGCTATTTGATGCATTTGTGTACCGATGAATGTCTCTTTATATATTATTATTATTGTTTCATTTAGTTCCTAGAGGAACATAGGGATTCAGCCACACACGTCTCCACTGCGTTCGGTTCACCGCAAACGTTTTCACCTGGCTCCACGTTTGCTCACATGCTTTCATCTCCTCTTCACATGACCTCCTCCATGTCACCCTCAAACTGACGACCAACTCACCTCTTCCCGTTCGGGTTACCCTCGAGCGATAGACTAGCGTCTGATGACTCTTGATGGTTTGTTTCCTCAGAGTATGATGGCCAATCCACCTACCATCTTCTCTGACCAGCCATCTGAAGACAGCTGTTGATGAAGGTCTGTAGTTTCTTCGAAGTTTCTTTATGACACGATATGGCGCCAAGTCTCTGATCCGTATAGTGAGTAGCACTGACTTTACATTGAAGTTGAAAATCCACATCTTATTTTCATTTTCATGCTGAGTAGTGCTGTTGATCTCCACACAGACTTGAGAGAAATGAAAGCTTGCCTTGCTTTCTCGATCCTCGCTTTGATATCCTCGTCAGTTCGGTCCGCCTGTAGTTGAAACGATGCTTCCCAGGTAGGTAGGTAGGTAAAGGAGGTTGTTTCTTTCAGATTCCTCCCATTTATGCTGATTGTTGTTGTTGCTGCTGTTGGTGTTGGCCAGGAATCTTCATCACCTTTGTTCCATATATACTACTGATAAATCTTGACAGTAGCACATACTACAATTTTAATAACTGGATGAATCTTTCAGCACCTACTAATCGTTCACAATCATATTGATGCATTCACGCGACATCCAACCAAATGGGTCACCGGTTTCGAACCCAGCTCCAGCTACCTCCCCTCCCCTTCCCTCCTGGATAGTATCACTAGGCTTCATCACATACAATTAATGATGTGACAGAACACTAAGAACATTATGGAATCACAAGTGGTTGTCAGGTAACACATTCCGTGTTAATTCCTGCTTTTTCATTGTTTAAGTGAAAAAAATATACAAACAACATGTGGAAAATAGATTTTTTTCTTTAAAAATTATCAACCACATGAGAATGAAAAGCACATACAGGAGAACAACCAAGAAAGAAAGAAAGAAAGCACGAAAGAAAGAGAGGAAGTGAATCTCACGAGTTGAAACACTTATCCTTCTCATGCACAATAATCACAGTAATCACAGCCTATATTTTGTATGTATGACAGCTATGCTATGCTAAGTAAGCATAGTATTAACATTCAAAAAAAAAGTAGTTAGTTATACTTCTGTTTTTATAATACAGGCATATCACATGTTAATTGAATAAGTGAAATGTGAGGTTTATTATTACCTGATTGGAAAACAGAAAGAGTTGAGAAATTGATATAAGTATAAAACTTGGGCACTGTGGTGGTGGTGGTAGAGTATAACTCCCTTATAGATAGATAAGATTTTCATCATGAGCTGACATTAGTTAGAGAGGTCCCTACAAACCAACACTTGAATATCAATGAGATGCTCACTAGCGACTTGCCCTATTCAGGTAGGTGGTAGTTACCTAGGGTTCTAGTGAGAAGTCGTGACCAGTAGGGTGTGAGGACAAATACTCGCCGAAGACATTGGCTAGCGGTTGCGCTATATCGTGAATTGGCAGAAGTTAGAATTCATGGGCCATTGGATCGGGTCCCAGTGGCTTAATGGTCTACGAGCTCGCTAGCCTTGTGACCAGAAGGTCCTGGGTTCGAACCCCGGTGGGTGCGTACTGATGAAGAGTCCCAAACTAGGACGAAACAGCTGTCCAGTACTCCCAGGTGGTTTTCCAATGGTTCTCTAACTAATGTCAGCTCATGATGAAAATCCTGTAACCAATCAATTCCCTACAAACCAACACTTGAAGCAGTTGTATAATATATATATCATGCTTCATACATACATTCCTTAATGAATTTGAATAAAGCAAGAACAACAGCGGTTGTGCAGAATAATAAATGGTACCATCAGTATTTATTTCGTTGGCTTCTCATCAGCTGCCTGCTTACAGGCCACAGTCATTATTCAGTATATCTACAGAAACAATTTTAACATACTTGCAACGAGACTTCATTTTAAACAAAAATTAATCAATCACTATATGCATAAAGTAATATACATATGTAATATTAAACACTATTCCGAACAATAATGATCATACACAATGGAAACTTTCGGCATTACGTATTCAGATGAAAGAGAGATGAAAATATCCAGTTACCAGGGTCATGAGGTGGACGTCACAAAATCGTTCAAAATTATCAATAGGCAAAAGAGCTCAATTCTCCTTAAGTTTGCTGAAGCAGCAATCTCCATCAAGCGCCTGAAAACTGATTTGTGCGTCCAGAAAGAAGTGGTTATCAGTTTTCTTTGCCCTGCCTGGTAACTGGATATTTTTCATCTCTCTTTAATCCGAATGCGAAATGCTGAAAAGTTTTCATTGTGTATGATTATTATTGTTTGGAATAGTGTTTAATATTGCATATATATGTATATATTATTAGTGTATGCGTATATTGATCGATTGATTTTTGTTTAAAATGAAGTCTCGGTGCAAGTATGTTAAAATTGTTTCTGTAGATATACTTAATAATGACTGTGGCCTGTAAGCAGCTGATGAGAAGGCAACGAAATAAGCAATGATGGTACCACTTTATTCTGCAAAAACTGTAGTTCTCGCTTTATTCAAATTCCTTGCTTCATTTATATACGTGAGTAAAACTGATGATTAGACATTTGAATAAAAATCAATATAGGATAATGCACATTCAGAAATAATAATATGAGTGTTATCAGTCAAATACAATCAGATGGGAAATAAGACGAGTGTTTTTTATATTCAAAATAAGCAAGTAACTTGTTATGTATGTGAATTGAATTGAAATAGAATTTTAAGATTATTTATTATCCTCCTCTGATTTGACTGACTGGTGGTAATAATATCTTCCATATTTCTGGTATTTGTATTGAGTCATTTCTGTTGCGTGTGTTGGGTGTAGATTCGATGAACAAGGATTCAGTAATCAACCTCTCTCTATCTCCACCTACCTTTATTACTCTTTAGAATTTGGACTCTGTCCCATCCTATTGTGTGTTAATACATGCAATCGCTGAGCTTTTTTCTAAATTACTTATCTTCTCGGGGTCAACCATTCTTACCTTTGGCTAAATTGTTATGTTCTGACAATCTGACTACCCCTGACCTACTAGTTTGACCTATGTAGTTGACCTCCCTCGCAGTCATTGCGAGGTATTTTGTAAATTATATTATTTTGTCTAATTAGGTCCACCGACATGGTCCTTTTACCTACACAGCTTGTCCTTGCCTGAGTGAATTGGTAGGTTTAAATGCCACTGTAATTCCTGCTTTATTTAGAATCTTACGTAGGGCCTCCTTAAATGGTAGAACTGTAGATATCTTATATTCTCTCTTATTTATGTTATCATTACTAGTTTCACCATTATTTTTATTTAGCTGTTGACCTTTTTTGATATTTCTAATGAATCTTATAGGATAATTAGCTATTCAACACCAAGGCGTCTTCTATCCGTTTCATTAATGTTGTTAATAACACTAATTCATCCACTACTATTTATAAATAACTGTAGAACCTGATGATGAAGTTATCGAGAAGAATATTCCTTGTTCAGTAACTATTCTTTTAAAAGGAGATAAATTTTTGCAATATATATGCAACGCTGAGAAATCCATTCTGTATGAGAAATTGTTGCTTAGAATAAAGGCATACTTTTTATCATTATTATTAAATTGAAATATAAGGATCAAACTTGGGCACTGTGGTGGTAGAGTATAACTCCATTGAGGAGAAAATCTTATTCAGATAAAATCACACCGTGTAGTGTTATACAGTAATATTTACTGATGACCACGTTTCGAGTACAATTTATTATTGCCACTCATAATCATGTCAAGGTACATATACATGAGTGAAATTGATGATTAGACATTTGATTGAATAAAATCAGTATAAGATAAGGTACATTCACAAATAATAATATGAGTGTTATCAATCAAATACAATCAGATGGGAAATTTTAAAACTCATAAATAGCAGTCTGCTCAAAATAAAGATGGTGACATCTTTTGTTTATTTCTTTGGCTTCTCATCATCTGCTGCATCCAGCCTTAAGTTAATGATTAAGTTTATGTACGGAGACAATATTAAACATGCTGACACAGAGAATTCAAGGTTAAACAATAAAATCAATATATGCTTACAATGATAATAGTAATAATAATAATAGTCACTTTATTGCAAACAAT